ATGGAATTTCATTTTCAGGTAGGCCGTGTGAAACATGTAAACCCTACGAATATGTGCACAGATGTCACCAACTGCACAAAAATGTTTATTAATTATTCTCATCATATGCATCTTTGCTAGTGATTTGTACCGCATGAGCAGCTTAAAAGAGAGAGAGAAAGAAAAGAAGAAGAAACTTTCTTTTAGTTTACCAAATTCTAGTTGGTAACTTCAAGGTTGGTAACCTCCCTGCAGGACATGTGCACTATGCTAATATAGGCAGCTAAAGTGGCGTCCTGTTCACTTAAGCCTAACCTAACAGCTAGATGAGACTGAAAGCTTGCTGACTTGTATATAATAAAAACTCCCCTAAATTCCTGAGAGAAAACCCAACAGGAACTTACTGCTCCTGCGACCTCGCTCAGGAAGAGTCCATAATTAAATTAAACCCAGGTTTAGAAAGCGGGAGAAAAGCAACACCAACCCACAGTTGGAAATTAAGTCCTAGGGGAAAACACAGCAGGAACCTACACCTCCTGTAGCTTTGCTCAAGCAGGGAGTCCATATTTAAACTAAACCCAGGCTTAGAAAGGGGAAGGAAAAACAACAAAAGCTCTGGGGTCATTTGCAAATGCCAGTCTTTGTCACTTCAGTTACTTCTACTGCTGCAATAACAGTTAGGTTTGTTGCTCATCAAAGGTTTGTCCATCCAGTGCTAGCTCCAAGTTTTTGAAGGTACTTGTGCAAGACACCCCCAATAGGACCCTCCTTCAGTGAGTTTCCCTTCTCATCATCATGATCACCAGTTGCTCCTGCTCTTCATCCTCTCCCTCATCATGGTTACCACTTGCTCACCCAAGAGATAGAAAGCCAGTGAGCAAGGAGGCTGCAGCATTTTCTACTCCTCCTCCTCACCAACTTCATTGACTGGGCCAGAGCAAGAGGCAGCAGGCTGAGATCACGGTGGGAACCCAAGGACATATGACAAGCCATGCTAGGAAGAGGCAGTCGAGGAAAGCCTTAGCAGGCTCCTGCTGAAGTGTGGGCCCTTGACAGGTGCCCATCCATGCTTACTTTTCATGCTGACCCTGTGTCCAGCACACAGTCATCTTTACACACACACACACTTTCCCCCAAGTTCAGTCTGCAAAGCATTGTAACAGAAAAATACAATATTTTTTGCCAGCTAAGAGCTGGGATCCAACCTTTACAGGCATGCTTACTTTTAGGGCTCTCCATAAATTAAATAATTTGAGTTGATTAATTTGTGGAATGGCAGGCAGTTTATCAGCTAATGAAATGAACATATTTAAATACACTTGCATTTGTGACTGTGATTCTTAAACCCATCAGTTAGAAGGGCACTGCTGACTAATCAATGAGAATGTAATCTAACAAACAAGACAGTGTAATATTTTTTACATAGTTTTAAAAGTTTCCTACCCACTCCTCCTTCTCTAGCCATTTACTGAATTGCTGCTAATGTGATGTCAGAGGATATTCAGGATTAACCTAACTATAAAGGAGGAAAGGGCTGGATTAGTATAGATGTGAAAGAAATGAAAGATTAATCTGTCTTGCAGAGACTGGGAACTCCTAATGGCTACAGGTGCCCTGGTGCATGGAAAAGGAAGGTGAGAAGAAGTCAGTGTTATGATATGCCCCCCTCCCCCCAAAACCAATCCTTCTCCCCCCCCCCCCCCTCGTCTTTGATCCCCCATTCTAGCAAAGTCATGATGGCGTGCCTTTTCGGGAGGAAATTCAAGCTGTTCCCAACATGTGACTTTTATTACCCCAAACCCACGGCTTCACATTTTCAGAGCAAGAGGGTATGTTTAACAAAACCTCAAAGTGCTAAGTGAGACCTGAATGAGCACCATTGCTTCCTGTCACACCAAACGATGTGGTCACTAAAGGAATGGAGCACAGAACAAGGCAACCGGTTAATAGGCCTGATAAGAATCTCTGATCAGGCATGAGAGCCATATTTGAATGAAATGTTGCTTGCAGGGTTTTTTTCCCCCTTCTCAGCCATGTGGTCACAAATTGTAACCTTTTCTTCAATGACAAATTCCAGAGGAGCAGTCAAAGAGCCAAATGTAGAAAGATACCTCAAGAATAGAGAAGAACTTGGTCTATTTCTTACACTCTTTTCTTCAAAAGTAAGTCAGATTCATTACACCCATGTAACCATCTGCCTATGGCAGCCACAACTGACTTTCCACCACCATTAAATGACAAAAGCAATACACACTTTTCAAAACTGGCATTAACTGATCCCTGCAACAGTACCATTTTTTTTCTGCTGGGATGATGTTGTAATTAAGTGCTTCTAACTGGCACAGAATTGACCACTGAGAGAGAATTCAGATAGCTTCCATATAGCCTGAAGTGTCTGATCCTACCTAAACATGGAAGCCTAATCTTGGAAGCTAAGCAAGGTAGGCTTGGCTGTAATCTGGATGGGCGACTGAAATGTTGTGAACTACCCAGAGAGCTTTGACTATGGGTGGTATAGAAACATATTGTGATAATAATTGGAAATTATTTCATTATTTGAAATGTTGAATGGTAGACTACATCTCCACATTTAAATTTTGAGACTGTAAACCTGTTGACATAACTTAAAAAAACTTTTAGCAGTTATAAGTGCTATAAGTAATAAACTACCAAATACAATATCATGTGCAGTCCAGTGCTGAAACTCAGTCTCAAAAGTGCTAGCAAATACAAAGAAAATATTGGCGCTTAACCATACTGGTGACCTAAAAGGGGAAAAAGTAATGCTTTTTCAGTTTACAAACCTTTCCTTATCTGATGGCCCAAAACCCTTTTTGTTAATACAGATGACTAAGGGAGTGGCTTTTTACAACCCTGCTTTATAGAACATCCAGTGGGAAAGTATCTACTAGCATGAAAATCAACCATGCTAATGGAGGGAGATAAAACTACTCTTTGGATCAGCTAAGCTGAATCTGAAGAACATTTGTCATTCAAACTGACAGGAGAAAAAATTATTTTCAAGTTCTAATTTTAGATATTTTATTTTATATAGCCCTTTATGAAGGTGCGGTACAATATTACAAAGAAGTAATGTCTTTGTGTGTGCTTTTTTGTTGTCCTCCCAAACTCTTGCCTCTTGTATCTTGTTGATCTGGTAGAGAGTAAACTTTCAGGAAGGGGATTTTGTATTCATTTCTTTGTGCAGAGCTTACTTTAAGCACAGTATCATATTTTAAGTACTGCATTGCAGCGGTTTTGCTCCTACTCAGTACTAGAAGGTGATGCTTGGGAAGCATTACTTGGCCCTATGTGTTTTTCTGTATGGGGTTCCGCAGGAGTTGGTTTGTGGTTGTGTCCTCTGCTATTCAAGATCGACATGAAACTGCTGAGTGGGGGCAACCAGAGTTTTGGAGTGTATCATCATCGGTAGGCAGCCCTATTTCTCCTTTACATCTTCATTATATGGGGCTGTGGATGTGCTAAACCAGTGCCTGGTTGCAACAATGAACTAGATAAGAGCTAATAAACTGAAATTCAATCCAGACAAAACCAAGATGCTGTTACTGGGTGATCCTTCTGATCAGATGAAGGATGTTCAGCCTGTTCCAGATGGGGCTGCACTCCCTTTGAAGGAGAAGGTTCAAACTCTGAGGGTTTTCCTGGAGCCATCTTTTGTTACTTGAGGTTGGTGAACCAGATTCATTAGGGAGGAGGATACCAGTGGCTACTAGCTTTTCTGGCTATGTGCTATCTCCTTTGCCAGAGGTGGCATGCCTGCATACACCAGTTACTGGGGAGCTTGGGCAGTAGGAGGTCTTGTACCCATCCTGCTTGAGAGATCCAGCTGCTTTGCCACTGTGTATGCTAGACTAGATGGACCTTTGGCTTTTCTTGTGTTCTTAATTTCTTTAAGCATAATTCTCCCAACCTATCACATTACCAATGGTAGAGATACTGAGTGGGCAGGCACCAATTCCCTTTGCCACTGAGGTGATCCCTGGCACGGTTCACTTAAGGGATCAGCCTGAGGAACCTTTCCTTGGTCCTCATCCCAGTCCCATTGGAAAATTCAGGGGTGAAGGGTAGTTAGCTCTTTTAGAGCAGCTTGGAGCAGGAATAGTGAGAGAGAGACAGTGGGCTTTTAAAAAATCCTTTTGTGCCCTGCACTTTCCTCAGAAATCTGTATTAGCAACCTAACTGCAGATTTATTTTCAGACTATAACCACCTATTCTGCTTAAGTCATGTAAATTGGCATGAATGTAGTACCAGCCAGGAACTTCCCATCCATCCGAAGTGCCGAAGCAACTGACCAGAACGGTAGCAAGTCCCCATGAACAATTCCACCTGAGTCAGACACAGACAAACCATGCTGCTGGGCTCAGACAACACACCAAGCCAGCCCTGGTTTAAAAGCCATGATCGCTTATCAAGGCAACTACTCTGCTTTCCACCCTTTTCCTCCACCAGCAGGTCATGTCTTGTCTTTACACTTGTTCATGGGTTAAAACCAGATGCCAGCCTGGTAGAGAAAGCAGGATAGGTTGAAACTGGCTAAGAGTGCTTGCTATGGTAGATGTAAGTTCTCCCATTGCCTCAGGATATTTCAAGAGATAAGGACATGCCAATCCTATGTGAAACATACCTTCTGAGACTGAACTGGTTCCTGGCAGCATATAATTTGCAACTATCTGTTTATGCCGTTTATGTATAAAATTCACAATTAAGGGAGAAAATCCATGTGCCTGTGCGTCTTTGATTCCCACAGCTTATTCATATTATGACATGGTATAGGGTTTTATTGAATTTGTATTTGAATGTGAAGCTGCTTTGAGAGAGCTCTTGCCCTCATAGGCAGCTTAGAAACATTTTAGGGAAATAAAAATATAAATAACAACATAGACCCTACACCTCCCTTATAAAGGTAGAGAGATGATTCCTCATAGAACTTGTTCTAGGATTTTCTCATCAGCATTCCAATTAGGAATTTTCTGCATAGTATATATTTTGATGAGCTTACCAGGTTCATTTTGCAGGTATGTCCGGCATCTCTCTTTGTGTTCTTCCAATGAACTTCTTTGTTTATAGCTCCGTCCACAGAATTCACACTTGAATGGTTTCTCCACTAGAAACAGCATTTAAACAAAAGTGTCATTCTCTATTTTCATTTTAATTACACATCAGTCATATCGTGATAAATGCTTAAACCGTGACCTCTTGCATCCTCAGAAAAATCCTACAAGGTTCATCTAATGAATCAAGAAAAATCCCAGATGCCCAATTGCCCAGTATATGTATACATTTTACAGTGGCATTGAACTAAAAATATTTTCCCTCTCCTCCCAATTGTACCCATTTTACAGATGGGAGAAACTGAGTCAGAGCAAGAGGTGCCTAACTTATAGGACACCAAGATCAGTAAGAATGTCACTCACAGTCCCAGATTCCCCAAACCTCTTTTGCCTATCCATTTCTTTCCTCATTGGTTTTACTGGCTACTATGACTAGCCAGCATTTTTCTTTATACTAAGAAAAGTTGGCTTCGTCACAGCTATCTGTGCAAGTGGAATACATCAGGTATATGCAAACTTTGATCAACCTTTTGTAGTTATGTTCACTCTCATTCAATCTCATGAGGCAAAGACTGACCATAAGAAAAGACACAAAAGAACTCATTCTATTCAATCTACAGAAAAATTGTTTTTGAAATAACTTACCAGAATGTGTCCTTAAGTGACCAGTGAGCGCATCTCTCCTTTGACAGGCATAGCTACAAAGGTGGCATTTGAATGGCTTTTCTCCGGTATGAAGTTTAACATGACGGAGAAGGTTACCCTTCTGGGTAAAGGAGGCCCCACACTGGTTACAATGGAAAGGACGTTCACCTTAAAAACAGAATGCATAAGGAGGAGCAAAAGCTATTTACTTACTATCTTAATAGCAGGCAGTCTCTGACAAAATGCACATGGATGAAGCAACAGCTAATTCAGCCCTAAGAAGCCTGAGGGATATCTGGCAGAGAGGTTTCTTTGCCCATCTTTGACCATAGGAGAGAACTAGGGTAAGGCTTCGGGGGTGGCTAATGAAGAGAACCAAGGCTAGGGTAGTTTCCCAAATTCTGATAGCTGCAATGCCCTTTCCCCCTTGAATTAAAATCCATAGCTATTTCACTAGCATTGTTTTAGAGTAATAACAATGAAACCTAAGAGCAATCCTTTTCCCTCTGCTTCTGCAGGTATCTCTCTTGTAGGTGTCTCCCCTAACTGGACATGCCATGTAATGACCTGCCTCAGCTTTGTCATCGGTGTGTCCTCCACCTAATGACCTTATGAGAGCATTACTGCTTTCTAGAACATCCTTGGATCAAATGCTTTCAACATTAGGTCATCCAACAGCATGGTCTAAAAGTACTTACCAGTGTGGCTGCGTTTGTGAACCATCAAAACATTGAGGCTGACACAACCCAATCCACAAATGTCACAATTCAGCTTTCCACTTGTTGGCCTGACGAGGTCATATGGCCCAGAATGCCTCTCTAGCTCAATGCTGTCATACTCTCTGTATTCCCTCCGACAGTTATAAAGGATTCCAGGCTCCCCTTGGGCTTCCATTGCATCAGTTTTCAAAGCACCATCTTCCTTTTCAGCGTATTCACCTTTGACTTTAAGCAAACCATCTTCTGGGGGAGGAAAGGCATCTCCTAAAAGTAAAGAGACTAGTAAAAATCAAGAATCCATAGAAAGAAGCCATGCTTTTCTCTCCAGAACAGACATATCTTAAAATAATGCCAAAGGGTTATTTTCTGTTTTCTTCTTTGCATCTTAGGGAGCCATCCTATGCAAGTTTAGACAGAAAAAAGACCTACATCTAAAAAAGATGGCAGGGGCATGCTGCTTTTATTAGGGTCCAAATTGGAATATAATTATGACATTAATATGTTTTAAACATTTGGGGGGACATATTGGATTAAAGTCATTACAAATTTTAAACAATTACAGTAATGAAATGAAGTAGGCACATGAAACTCTCCTCCAACTCAATTTTCTCTAATCTGCAGCTGCTATCCTTTTAGGAAAAAGATGAGACAGAGAACAAGAAGGAAAAGAGGAAAGGAAGGAAAGAGGTTTCTCTGAAGTTAAGAAAGAGAAAAGCAATGCAGACGTGGAATCAAATCAGGGCAGGATGGTGTCTCCTGTAGCAGAACACCTTCTCCATTGCAGCTTTGTATCTTGAGCTTGACAGGAGCTATTCATAATGGCAACCTTATTTAGAGGATGGAGTTCACCACCATGGATAGCTCCTATAATGGTCAAAATAAAAGCTGCAGTAGATAAGGAGTCCAATTCACAGAGCTGTCACCTGCCTCCCTTGGCCAAGCTGGTCTGGGCTTTGGCTTCTGATATTTGAGAGGCTTACCACAGCGGCAATGTAAAAAAAAAAAAAAAAAGTGCGGGGAGGCACACACATGCAGTCTTACTCATGGGATCAAAAACAGGGTTCCAGATTTAGCCATATTTAAGAATAGATCTACTGAAATCAATGTGCCTGTTTGAAGTATGATTAAACCTGAATCCAATCCAAGGTTTCCAGATAAGATCAAAGATACTGGCAACATTTTATTTATTTATTGTTAGACCACTGTTTTATTAATGAGTAATGTTAATATTCCTTCTACCCATTGATTGTTCCTGATTGCCTTTTGATATCCTGTGATTCTGTACCCTCATTTGTGGTCACCAGTGATGGGGAGATGTTCTTGATTTCTCAGCAGCTGGAACAACAAAATAACACTCAGCTGCCTGCGATGCCATATGCTTGCTACTGAAGCCATCTGTTTGTGACATCAGAAACACCCAGCAGAAGTTTTTTGAGCAGCCACGTATAATACATAGCAATGTTATTCTAACCACAGCCTCTGGGTTGGAGGGAGGCTGTTTATGCTGGGATTTAGTTACATATATGTAACGTATTGAGTACTAATGTTGCAGGATACTGTGAAATTGGTGCTAACAGAGACTTAGTAATTAAGAGTACATCTTCTGTGTCCCAAAAAACCTATTGATTAATGTCAACTTTTAAAATGCAGTATCAAGATATTTAAGGCATTTTAAAGGGAAGGGAAGTATGTTCTTTCTCATGGGTACTATCCAATGGGCACTAGCAACATTCATGACCAAATTAACTGCCACCTTTTGATTGGTTGACATATGGCTACCACTCTGGAAGCTGCTTACTGTGACAGGCATGGATAATTTCTATAATGCTCAAAATAAAAGTTAGTGGCTTGTTTAGCTTAATCAGGATACAGTTGTAGTAATGCAAAATTGGCTTAATAGAGAACAGGAACATATGAACCTGTAGAATACATTCCAGTCAGTGCAGTGTGAGACTTGGGCTAGAACAAAAGGCAACAGAATCTGGCTAAAAGGTAAATATCATTCTACACAAATGATACAAAAGCAACAAAGTTCTGGCAGATTTTTTTAACAATGGAAAATAGCCATAAGAGGATGCGATTCTGAGCCATGATGGGGGTGGCAGTGTATGTGTGTCTATAGCATGCAACTCTTTCCTGAAGCTTCTTTGCTATTCAAAATTAACTCAGCTATTTCCCCACACAGGCTGCCCTTTTTAAGCATGCATCTGCAAAGGGGGAAAAGTAATCAGGGCCAGGGGTGGGGCAGCAAAATTTTGACTGGGAAAATGGCAGCAGGCAAAGAATAAAGCACTCCTCTGCCTTTCTACTTGAAACTGTAAGTGCCTCTAGCTGCTTGAATGTGACCATTCTAAGAATGGAGATAACTACACAAAGTTATGTGTAGTCCTCTCTGCAGTATTGCATGCCAGTCTCTACTTCACACAAGAGGGGCCTGCAACAGAATACTGCAGGTCAAGTTTTGAGCCATTCCCTTCTCTTCCACCTCCCCATGTGTTTTCCCCCCCCCCCCCCCCCCCCCTGGTCCCACAAGAGTCAGCCAGCATTCTAAACAGAGAGGCAGACAGCATATTTCACTGGGACACAACAAGGCTGAAGTGGCGAAATTCAGCTTGCTGTCCTCACTTGCCACAGTTCTGATGCTGATTGCCCTCCCTTGTGTGATTCAAATTTGTGATTTGAAAACAATCCCACAAAATGCAATAATACATTTCGTGCAACATTAATTTGGCCCTTAGTCATGTTGCTACAGCAGATGCACTGCTTCTAACTGCAAGACATCATATTGGGGCAGGAAAAGCACAAGATAAAGTCAATACAAAATAGAGGGGATTCTGCCTAGGGTCAACATCATAGAGAAAGATGAAGGGATTATAAACAAATCTCAGTCTATATATGACTCAGAAATGTGAGTAATGAGTCAAAACAAATGCAGTTGTGGATTGTTGTAATGGAGAGGCCATATGCATGACTTAGGATGCCTTTCTTAGTTACAACTCAGTTTAGCTCATTAGTTTTTGCTCTCAGAAAGGTTTTGTAATATTCTCTTGAGTGAATATTGATTATGAATATTTACCAAATAAGTTTGGATGTGCGGATATTTATTAACAGAACTTTGGACATTTTATTTTGTAATTTGACATCTGGAGGTACTTCACATTTGGCTGTGGACATTGGACAATGTAATATTTACTGATTGTGTCAATTATCATGAAATGGTATTTAGTACTCTGAAAGCATTTGATAGATAATGTGCAACTGTACATAGTCCTATATGAATTTGTGCTAGAGTTTTTTACCCAGCTCTTCAGGCTAAAAACTCCAAGGGCAGGAAACTAACATTTTGTAAGATTTCATATTTGAAGCCAGAGTCAAAACAAGAGCTGCCAACAAGTCTGAGGGACTTGAATGCCAAATCTAAAGCAAAAGGTTGAATTCAAATTCACATTTGAAATGTCACATTCATCAACTAGACTGAAATGGTACATTTTAGCAATGTTCAAACATTTATACATATTCATTTGAGACTTCATGGGTTCAAATGTGCCTTTTCTCTGGCTGCAGTGCAGTTAGGGCCAGATGAATAAAACTTGAGATGATTTTGAATTGAACCAAGGGTGCTTGTCCATCACCGTTTTCAACTTTCTAGGGCAAACTCATTATTTGTCTCCAGCCCAAGCACTGGGCTGATGGGTTGCAGTCATTCCGGTGAAAGGAACGCATTCTGCACATCTTCAGTGCCATATGTTACAGAGCAAATCATCTCCCATTCAAATTGGGTTTAGAGACAGGACCTTGGTTCAAATTGGTTCAAAAGATTTGCTCTTAAGAACTGGGTAACCTAAGGATGACTGCCCCCCAAAACGATTTTGGGAGTATTTGGAGGAAGATGTATCTATAACAGCAATTGTCCCAAAATAGTTAGTGGGGTTGGCACTAAACTAATAAGCTATAAGGCATTCAGGAAAAATTTCAAGGCTGACATTTTAATTGTGGGGGACCAGGGACAGAAAGAAAGCACAAATAGCAATATTGTCAGAAGTGCCTTATTTACATTTTTTGTGGTATGTCTTGAGAAAGGTGAATTAAAAAGTACTAACTTTACTGTTATAAAATGCCTTAAGGTGTTTGTGAATCTCTCTTCTATTGTTTTAAGCATCCTCATTGGATATGCACAATGACCTTCCCTCATCATTTTTATGGAGCATAGTTTGCTAATGAAAGATGTTTGAAGAGCACTGAACACAGCTCATTTACTTGGGGGGAGTTAAAGAAGATGCATGCTGGCAGTTGGAAGTAACCAGTGAAGGAGAAAGAAGACTGAGTTTTGCAGCTGGCACATCTTCAGCACCACATACTGCAGCTGGCACATCTTCAGCACCAAATATTTTGCAGGGAAAAGAGGAATCCAAAGAGAAGCAGTAGCTTTTAGGAAAATGATGCTGCTATATAGACTAACACTAACTCTCTGGGTGCGTGCCTGGTTTCTAATGCACACTAAAGAGACGTGTTACAAACCATGCGTGAGTCTCCAGCACTCTTCTCACAAGAAAACTCTGATCTCACAAGTGACAAAGGCTACCTCTGGAACTTTTTACTGCTAGAAGAAGTGGAAGCATGAAATAATGCCATTCTCTTATTTTGGGATTTTGGCCAAAACTCCCTGCATGGATGTATGATTCTTTCTGCAAGTTCTTTTAAGGCTCCTCCAGGAAAAATACCTACTTTGTGTCTTCCTGCCAGGCCACCTGCCTTTGCATAATGCACCTCTGTCTTTGATCACTTTTGATAAGGAACTGAAAGGATGCACCTGAGTCCTCCTGCTGAAGCCTCCACCATGTTCCAGGTGTTGAAGTTTCCCCCAAGCAAAGGCTTGAGTGATTTTCAGTTTGCATGGAGGGTCTTTTTAAAAAGTTAGTGGAAAACACATGCCGATTCAAAAGAGGAAAAGTGTACAGCCTCCTTTAAAAATAGAAATAAAGCATTATTCTGAACTAAGCTAAAATTTGCATTCCTGAGCTGAAGGGGCACAAGCCATAAGCAGGAAAAGATCTTACTTAATTATGTTGCAACAGGGTGGGTATAATATGGGGGAGGAGGAAAATTCTGCAGTACTAGAGCCAACGTGAAGCTTGACATACATTTTAAAATGGACAAAATCCTAGAATCAGAACACACTTTTTAAATGTTCCTTTTGAAATTCAGATTTGAAGGATCCATAAAAGGAAAACTGCTATCCTCCACATGCCTACACTTTCCTTTTC